CCGCGCCACGCGCAGGGCAGAGCCCTGACCCTCCCACCGCGGCACTGTCGCTGCAGCCGCCTGCAACAAGTAAGCCAGGACGTGCCACAGCGGCGCCGTCGCCTGACGCAGGGCTCGCGGCAAACGCCGACCCCCCAGCGCTCCTGTTGTCTGAACAGCACAGCGTGCCGGCAGACAATGCTCTGGGCGTTTCTCTCCCTGAGCCTGCTCCGCAAGCGACCCTCCAACCCTTCCAGCCTTCCAATTCCAACCGTCCAGGCCTCGGTCGCCTTAAAGAACTTTTCTCAGTAACTGGTGTTCCCAGCATAACTGGTGTTCCTGGGTTTTGGTTGGTACGCCTGCTCTGATATATGGCTTGTTTTGGGCTCCCCTACCAATGGTTATTGTTAGGCTCCGCTACCAATTTACCCCATCCCTTACAATCATTGTGGCCAAAAAATGACACGATCGTCAAACTGACTGTTGTCGCAAGTGACTGCAAGACTAGCTTTGGCACATTGGGCCACACGATCGTCAAACTGAGTGTTGTCAAAAAATAAACAAATCAATATTATGTTTCTCTACACATGTATTATAAATAGTATGTGGAATAAAAACCCCCCGAGAGAAGAAAGCCTCGGCAGCGCAGGATGCGGCCAAGCCGCCCCCCGGCCAGACAGGCAGAAAGGAAGGAACCCCGGCAACACAGGGCACGGCTACGCCGCTCCCCGGCTCAGGCGGGCGAAAGATGCGAAAGAAGGAACCTCCGGGCGAGAGCATGTGTGTATAAATACATGTACGACGTATGTACATCTCGGCACAAAGTAAAGTCATAATAAGTGGCCGCTTAAAGGCTTTGGATGATTCAACGGGTAGCCGCTAAGAAAAGGAGACATGCGCACACTCAGTGCAGAACTTGCGAGCACTCTCAGTCCTATCTGTTTTGCACGCAGCCAGACTCGCGCAGGATTTGCGATCCTTTTCGCCTTTTTAAGGCAGGATTTGCGATCCTTTTCGCCTTTTTAAGGCTCGCAGCTTTTGCGATCCTTTTCGCCTCTTTAAGGCTCAACCTCGCTCTCCGGACACACTGACTCCTTGTCGTTTTGATCGTCGTCCTCGGTTTTTTGCGAATCTCGTGCCTTCGCGGCATCTTCCTCATCCTTCGAGTCTGCCAAGTTGTGGCTGCGCTCTTGCTCAGCCGTGGCAAGTTGTTTCTGGAGCAACGCCTTCTGCATTGCTGCCTTGGCAGAACCATGCTACGGAATCACGGTTACGATGGGTTTCATCTTGAGATGGCTTGTTGTTCTTGTTCCTATCTAGTTGGTGGCGGTCAAGTTAAAATGCATGGTGGAGGTTGTTCTTGAGTGGAGAGTTGAGCTGTTGCTGCTGATGTCGTCGTTGTCGCGCTCGTGGTCGTGGTCCTGTGGTTCTACTTACTGTTGCTGCTGTTGTTCTTGTTGTTGTTGTTGTTGCTGCTGCTGCTGGTGATGTTGCTGTTGTCGTCGTTCTTGTTGTTGTTGCTGCTGTTGCTGCTGTTGTTGCTGTTGTTGCTGTTGCTGCTGCTACTGCTGCTGCTGCTGCTGTCTGTTCTGTTGTTGGCGATGATTGGTTTTTGTTTGCTGTTGCCCTGGTACTGTTACCGTTACTGTTACTTTAGCTTTCTGGGCTTGATTTAATCATAAACTTGTTATACGGTTTAGAACTCGGAACCAACAACAAATATCAAATCGAGTGGTGTCTGATGTTTACAGCCACGCAGCACACATGGCCTTGACGTCTTCCAACCTGTCTCCTTGTCTCAGCCTTCTCACGGCTTCAACCTGACTGTCCAGGCACCCAGACACTCACTGCTCGATAGGCTTGAGAAATGCTACCAGTTGCCACCAAAGGCACTGCAATCTCTTCCGTCCGGTCTTTCGGATACAGCACTCCGCCAACCTGGGCTACGATTCTGCATGACGGTATTTTATTTTATACCTTCAAAAATTCAAAAATTCAACCCTTAAATCGAAACTTAGATGCAAATAGAGTGGCTCTTATCTTCTCTGCTCCATTGACTTTGATGCCCCAGCTGTTATTGCTTTTGTAATAACTCTCTTTTTCCACCTTCAGCCTCGGAGTGGCAGTGGCTGAATGCGGAGTGGCTCCTTCCGACTCCTCCGCTGGCGGACGCGGTGATGTCTTGGCTTTTGCTTTGGCCTTCTTCTTTGGCTGCCCTTGCTTCGGCGGCACATTGACATGCTCCTGGCTTCGGGGGTTTTAGTTTTCGAAGAGTGTCAAATCATGTAGCATCAGGGCATCATGGCTTCATGCGGGCGGAGTGGCTCGTCCATCCAAATCCTGCGCTGGCGGACGCGGTGACTTGGATTTTGCTTTGGCCTTGGGCTTTCTCTTTGGCAGTTCTTGCTTCGGCGGCACATCGTCATGCTCCTGGCTTCGGGGGTTAAGGTTTGCGAAGAGTGGTAAATCATGTAGCGTGAGGGCATCATTATAAAATAAAATAATACATGAGAAATTAAATTCACGCATGCGAGACTAGTGGCCTCCGCTTCCGACTCCTCGGCAGCTTCTGATTCTTCCCTCGACTCCTCGATTGGAAAGTTCAAAGGTTTACTATATGAGTGACAGTCAGCCGGCCAGCCTGCTTCGAACCCGAAGCGATTCCTCCTTTCTTCTTCACTTCCTTTGGCTTCTTGGGCTCCTGAATTAATTTAGCGAGGGTGTAGGGCGTAGTGGGGTTTTAATTAAAGTTAAACTGACGTCAAGCAATGCCATGAGTACAGTCAGCCGGCAAGCCTGCTTCGAACCCGAAGCCGAATCCGAAGCGACTGCTCCTTTCTTCTTCAGCTCCTTTGGCTTTTAAGCGAGGGTGTAGGGCGTAAGGTTGAGTTGTTATTCTGTTATCAAGTATGACATCATGATGACAGTCAGCCGGCAAGCCTGCTTCGAACCCGAATCGCTTTTTTTTTGGTGCTTCAACTTTGGCTTCTGGGGCTCCTGACTTTAACTCAGCGAGGCCGATGGCGTAGGGCGTAGGGTAGTGGGCTAATTAGGGCCTTCGGGTTATTATTAAAGGCGCTTTAGGAGCTATACAGCTATAATAGCATAAGGTAGACTTATCTAATATTTAAATAATAGTAATAATAGCGAGGTACTAGGTTGAATAGGGGAAGGTTGGTATTTACAGCACTCAGGTTTCACTTGTCAAATGTTGGGTAAATTTCTAACCTCAGGCGGTCGTCCTACGACTCTCGTCGTCCTCGGCCGTCGTTGTCTTTGCTTCTTTCTGCTCCTCGGTCTGCATGGGCTCCTGGCTGAACTTAATCAACAAGGCTAAGGGTTTGAACTTAATACTGTCTACTTTACAGGCTATTAGTAGACTCCAGGAATGAATCGCACATTGGGCATTGCATCCGTACAGCGCGCATGCAATGAACACACACGACTCCGCTCCTCCACATCCGGCTTCGGTCCCGGATCTGTCCTTGCTTTCTTCTCTGCTCCCTCCCTTACATCATCATCCTGCACGGAACCTTCCGTGGAAACAGTCTTGCTAGGGGCTCGTGTCGGCCTTATGGCTGGACGTCGTGGCTGCTTGGCTTCCTCCTCCTGTTCATCCTTCTTCGAAGCTTGTTTCCTAACAGCTTGGGTTGGGGCGATTTTAAGCCTCGCTTTCACGGGTGAGGCTGAGGGTGGTTGCTGCTCGGATGCTGGATGCTCCTGCTTGTCCTCCTCCTTTAACTTTTCATCCTGCTCCGAAGCGTCCTTTGAAACACCTGGGGTAGGCTTGTCCTCCTCCTTTAACTTTTCATCCTGTTCCGAAGCGTCCTTTGAAACACCTGGGGTAGGTGCAATGTTCGACTTTGACTTCAAGGCTGAAGGTCGCTGCTTCTTGTTGCGGAGCTCTGCATTTTCATCCTCGTGTTGTTCCTTCTTATGTGTTGCCGGTCTTTTCAGGGGTGGCTTTGGCTCATCATCACCGGTATCAGGTTTCAAGTTCTTGTCATTCATCGCGGGTTTCTTTTTGGGTGCTGGTTCCTCTTCCTCCTCCTCGTCTTCCTCATCAGGCCAAAAGAGGCCCTTTTCCTCCTCCTCCCCTTCATCGCAACTCATGTCCAGAAGTGGAACCTCAGGGTCCGCTAAGCTTTCCTTTTCTTCTCCTTTAACATTCTCCTGACGTGGACTGTTATTGTTTGGAGTTGAAAAAGGACACCTGGAAATCAGCATAGCAAGAAACAATAATAAACAACAAGTTTGGCATAACAACCTTGTTACACTTACAACCGCTCCAGTAAGAATCAACTCCAAGGAAGTTTGAACCCGCCTCGCATTCATCGGAGCTTGCGGACAGCTCGTTCACCGAGCTAAAAACTGGCATGCCCCCTACTCCTGCGACAAGCAGGGCCTGGCTTGACCTGAAAGAACAATTTGACAAACCAAGCCATGGGTTCCAAGCTTGTCCTCTCAGTGACTGGACTCAGACTCAGTGCGAGAATCAGCAGCGATGACTGGCTGTTCAAGACGATGCCAAGCTCGTCAGACTCGATGTCTATGCGATGTTGCACATGGAGTGGGCACACATTCGGACTCCGAAATCACATCTAAATCATAATAGGGCTTGGATTGAGAAATTAAAGTAACATCATAATCAGCCCACGAAGTGCAACTCACAACGAAAGTAATTCAGAAGTTAAAAGCGGCCTCCAGGCTTGATGTGACAGCGCACACGACGTGGAGCGCAGAGCTATGCAGAGCTATTATCTGAATGAACATGAATTGAAATTGGCCCTACTCCCAGCTTGCGCCCGCCACTCTCACGTCTACTGTGCTTGTGCACGGCCAACTCATCAAGAGGGCTGGAGGCTCGAAGTCACATCAGCATCACCATCATTCACATGTCATTCATGATCGAGAGCTTAGAAGCACCAAGTCGGCTTGAAATGTTCGAATGTGCCAATCTTGCAACTACTACTAGTGTACCATGATGGTGATGATGCTGCAGGGTCCGGAAAATCTCAGGATCAGGAGCTGACCTTGCACCAACTTTGCGGAGGCAGTCGCACGCTGCAGGTCAAGTAGATCTTCGGCTTGATCGGCATGATCTTGGGCGGTGTCCCGCTCACGGTCACCTGCAACAGAAACAATGACAGCTGAACCAAAGTAATCTGCTGAATGACACGACTGACTCCACAGAGGATGCCCGACAACCTTTCAGTGGTTGCAGCACCACGGCCTCCCAAGCCACAGTGGCAATCTTGTTGCGGGGCAAGCGGTCATAGTTACCACTGAAGAGAGCGGCGAGGGAGACAGCACGGACTGTCTCTGTCTCCTCTTTGCTCAACACTGCTGGCTTGAAGACACTCGTCTTGCAGCTCACGGTCGGGGCCACATCATATCTGAACCCAAATAGGGCTTCGTCATCATCAAGCTGGGTCTCAGCATCGTCTGCCGCAGCAGCAGTCTTGGATGACAGTTCATGTTGAATCTCACCTCTAAATGCATTGAAAAGCATAGCAAACAAGCAGCCGGAGGCTTGGGCAGCACCACGTGGGACTCCACCTCCACATTCACGAGGCCCTCCTCCGTGGCCTAGTAACGCATGTCAGGCTTTTAATAACCTCCCTCATGTCATGATGAAGCAGCCCAGTCCTACTTCATCATCATCATCACCATCAATCATCATTGAATCTGAATCGTGGGCGGCCTTCAGCCGCAGCAATTCGCATAGTGGCAATGTTGCCTTGTTCACGACAATGAGCTCCTTGTCGCTGCCCAATCGCCAGGGCACCCCGGAGCTTTCCTCCAGCACGTTTCCTGGAATCAGAGGGCTCTCGCATTAAAAACTGGTTGCTAATGCTAGGTACTACTCGTCGGGCTGACTAAGGGGCTGTTGATTTGAATCGAAAGTCCTATTTCAGATGAGGAGCGAACAGGACGGTCCGAGTAACTGCCCATCCCAAACCCACAAAGTTCAGAGCAGCAAAGATCCAAAGGGGAGTCACTGGTGTTGCCGATCCACAAGCCGTACTCGGCCGTGATCATGATGCTGGGCTTGCCGGGGCGCCCAGTGACCATGGCAAGCCTCAGGTGCCATCAGCAGCAGGACACAGACACAGACTAAACATATTCTTTAGAATTTAGGGCTAAGTTCTTGTTACTGTTACTGTTGCTGCTGTTACGGTTCATGTTACAAAGTTAGGGTTTAGCGGTTCAGGGGTTTAGGGTTTTAGGATTCGGGATGGAAGGCTTCTGGGCTTTGACATTTGGGCTATACTAATTACGGGCATTGCGGCCTTGCATGCTCAGAACAGTTCAATTTTCAATCAATGATTCACTCCTTAGCCATCAGACTGGTAGCACGGTCTCCTTCAGCTCTGCCACGGGGACCGTTGCGAGGTCCACGCACCGCTCAAGGTCCAGCGGCTCTCCATCCTGCGAGTAGTCGCACTCCGCAGCCAGGCGCTGGGTCAGCTGGCTGACCGAAGAGGCCTGTCGGCCCACCTGGCTCAGAGCTCGTGGCTTGGGGAACTCCTTCAAAAACTCCTGGTTCAATAGCAGGAGCTTTGCATGCTCCGGGGTGCCGGCCGGAAACTTGTCCTCAAGCGAAGACGGCCATACGGGCTTGGAGCCCTGGAGGGAAAGGATCTGCAGCGGCACGGCCACCGCGTCCAAATCGACATCATCTCGAGTGCGCCTCTTTGCAGGGGCGGCGCTGCTGCTATCCCACCAGGAGTAGATCTTGCCGCTGAGGTCGGCTTTCACGTCAGCATGCTCCGGGCGGAAGAGGCCGACGTAGCGCATGCAACTCTTGCCCTCGGTTTCAATCATCTTGTTCACGGCCGCGCGGGCAAACTCGGCTTGCCTGCAGGAGCAACCCTTCGAATTTCATTGATGTGATGTGTAAGAAAGGAATCAACATATCATTTCAAGTCCAACCTGTTGGGGCAGAGGTCCACGATCACCAGCCGGTCCGTTTCGCCGAAGCCCATGCCATCCATGAAAGCATCGAGGATGCCCTCATGCAGCGGCACTCCCTTCCTGGGATTATGATGGCGCACATTGACTGGAACGGGACGCTAATAAAAAAAAACCTTATCTTTTCAAGAAATTATAAGACCGAAACGCCCACACGACCCTGAGCCTGACCTATGACATACGTGTTAAACCTGACCCCAATCCTGACAACCTATTTAGTATGGTTCTCCTGCTAATGACAATAGGAGCTTTAACTTACCATGCTTACAGATATATACGGATATTTTTTTATGGTTAACCCACACTTACTTTAAAAGGACCTTTCATATTTAACAGCAGTAGTAGAAAAGACTAAGAATCAAACTCTGTGTAAATGCCCGAAGTCTGACGAACTTGGTACTTAGCATTTAAATTCGGGCTCACTGTTGCCCAGATGCTGCTCTACCCTCGCCGCAGGGCCAGGCCGCGAGTTCTCGTAGCCCAGGAAGTCCGCGACTTTCAGGAGCGGGAAGGGTCCCATTCGGCACTCTTGCAAAACTCGCGAAGCGGTCCAGCTTGTTGCATCGAAACCACTGAAGAGGCAGGTCAAGCAGGTTTGTGTCAGGGACCGCTTGTCAGATGCACTTGCGTCGGCAGGCTTCTCGAAGAGCAGGGCTGTCACGGAGTCCGCGTTGATCTTCGCCTTCATCAACAAATCCTCCACGGTCCGCCTGTGCTTGACGCTCGTTGAGGAAGCCATCGAACGCTGCGGCAGCGGAAGCTGCAAGTGGCCCAGGTTGTTGGAGCTGCTGGCAAGCAAGTTTGCCAGCAGCTCCACAGAGTCCCTCACGTAATCCACATTCGCTGGCAGCACCGTGTAATCGCAAAGGCACAGCACATACCTGAATTGCAAGCGGTCATCCGGATCGAGGCCGCTTGATAGAAAACAGCAACCCTAAACTCCGAAGGCTCAGAACCCTTGAGCCTTAAACCATAAATCCTGAGGACACTGAGTTAAGTTAGTTGGTCTACTTACATCATATGTCAATAAGCAACAGACAAACCCCAAATAGTAGGAGAGCTAACTAAATAACTGATAACTTATAGTCCCAACCTGAAGATACTGTCATATGTCACTCATTAGTCATTAAAGTAACCCAAAAACCCAAAATAGGAGCTCTAACTAAATAACTGAACTAATAACTTATAGTCCCAACTTGAAGATACTACTTGTCATGTGATTGTGATTGTCCCAAGAAGGTGGTTTCTGGGACCTCGGGCTCCGAGTCTGTAATGTAATGATGAAACCTGTTGGGCTTCAAAACTTTGACTACTTTAGGGCTCAGGATAAGTAATCGTCGAGCGGCTGCGTGCCTGCAATGCCACGGAACTGGCCCAGGAACTTGAGCACGTTGGGCAGGACATTGTTGCCTTTGCAGCTGAGCGTCTCGTCCAGCATCTCGCAGTGGCAGTACTCGGCCATCCACGTTTGCACAAAGTTGTCGCCTTGCCTTGACAGCATAACTAACGTAGTCCACGTGACACGCTGTATGCTTCGGGGTTACGGTTCCACATTAACAGTAACAGACAGTCAAAGCAACAAATTTGGCACGGACTATAAGAATACAAAGCCTTATTAATCATTATTGTTATTGCAAATGGCAGAAATGATTTGTGTCAAGCTGCGTCTGCCGGTCCTTGACGTACTTCAAATCCTTTGCCGTAGCGATGGCCTTGAGCACATGGTCTGGGGTCCGCTGGCGCAATGCCTTCATGTCAGACTCGACCAAGGCGGTGATCTGGGCCAGGGTGGCTTCGCGGACTTGCCGCGCATGCTCTGCCTGTGTCGCATCCATCTCTGCCTGCGCTTGGGTCTCGATCTGGACCGCCACCGCCCTGAGGGCGGAAAGCAGGCAGTCAATGTTAATTGTCAGGTAGATGGTTCATTATGCTGCTTGTTTATTAACTGTGCACCTGAAGGCGGAAACAGATTTCAGATCTGCTGGCGGCACGGCGCTCTCAAGGACGTGGACAAGGTCCGTGTCCAAGTAGCCGTGATGGAACTGATGCATGAGCTGCCGCCGCAATTCAGGAAACTCTTTGCCGGGGCACATGGCTTCCAAGAGGCCGAGGAAGTGCAGCATGGCAGCACAGCAAGCATGCTTTGTCACCGTTTCCTTATAGGTCGGTGCCTGAGGAAGTTAAGGTCACCACTGCAGCAACCAATCTTGGATTCTCAGTATGATTATTTTGACGGCCACACTTACAGTTGCAACCTTTAAGATCTCAAGGCACCTTACGCAGGGGCTCGGGCGCGAGGTCGAAGTCGCTGACGAGGCGCTCCACCAACAAAGATGCCTTGTGTCGTCGAGAGACAACGAGATAGAGATAGAGATAGAGATAGAGATAGAGATAGCCAGCCATGATCGAGGGGGCGCGTGAGCTGACGATGATGATGGTTTATGGTCACGATGATCTCATTCTACGTGTCTTGTCCAGTATAGTAGACTACAAATCAAATTCATAAACCTTAAGTTCAAGACCCATCCCTCAACCCCAAATTTTACAAACAAGATGTTCGCGTTTAGTCACAATCCTGGAATCGCCCGGGGCGTTTGTCAGGAGGTCCCGCCATGCATCCATGCCCGGCGATGTGTTGGTGTAGGAGGCACTGAAGATTTGTCGTGCCAAAGCTTCATGGCCCACAAACTTCACCATGCCTCGTCGCTTCACTGCCGCTGCCAATGCATTTTTCACATCCTCCGGCACGGCCGTGATGAGCTGCTGCACAGCTCCGGCTTCATTCCGGCCTATATGGAAGGCCTTCGCAATGGCAGTCTGGGAGTGCCAATCCTGAAACTGACAATAACAAGACTGTCTTAGGAATCGAACATAAAGCCAAACGTCTTCAAGTTGCTATCTCGTTCTGAGTCTCCGAAAACTGCTGTTCGGCTCCTCCTGCTCCAGCTCTTTGTAAGATGACAACTTGACGCAGGAAGTGGAAGCAGTTTGGGGGTCGCCGCGTTGATGTAGACGCGAGGGTCACTCCTAGCTTGTCAATTTTAATAACAAATAACCCGCTGGTACTTATCGCTCTATGACTTGCTGTCGACGCCAATTGTTCATGCAAGCCACCTCGTGAAGCCAAAACCTTGGCTTTCACATCTTGAAAGGCTCCGAAGGAGCAGTGGATGGTGCCCATGCTCACCTGAGGCCGGGAAGTGATCTGAAATCTCACTCTAAAAATTAATATCTAAAGGCTACGTATAACAGCATGTGTTGATATAAAGTTTAGACCAGGCCGCACGAATGTGGTGGGGCACTTCTGCCTCCAATCCCAGCATTCTGATTCCATAGAGTGCCAGGATCAAGCACACTGCTCTTTTCCACCCTTTCACGTACCCGACACTGAAGGGTGGCAACAAAGCACCTGAAACAGAACATCAAATGCACAGCCCCGTGATATCACCTATGACTCGCGCTATGCTCCCAAGTTACTGCCCAGGCTGATGGCGGGGCATTCCGTGATGCCACCGTCGAGGTACTCCGGTGGAGGCATCGTAACGCCCAACTTCTCGACACCGACAACGTTGGGGTCAGTCAGGAACCTTAGATCGCAATTCAAAGCAAAACCCGGACCAGATCAAGAATATAAGTACGCATAATAACAGTAACACTGATTGGTTAACTACCAGTATACTGGGTCCAGCAGCCCCTCTGTGAGTATGAGCTCCAGGAGGAGCTCGGCCGTTTCCGGCTCCATCATTCCGCTAATTCCGAAATCTGAGCGCCATCCCAACTGGAAGGGCCTCAAGTAGCTGCCGGCGCTGTCAATGCTGTAGGCCTTCCTGCAGGTACAGTGTGACAGGCGGTGCAAAAAAACATGTCGTTTGTGTTTAAGTCGAGGTGCAAAGCATCAGCAGGACAGAAGTTGTCCATCCACCGGGCGAAGTCAAGCATTTTGTCCTGGCAGACAGAGAGTGAGCAACAATGCCATCTTGACACGAAGTCCTCAGTACTGACTTAGTTTAAACTGACTGAATGATTCTGATAACTATGACCCCTGACACATGACAGAGAGTTTACAACAATTGCCTTGCCTCGGTATCCATTTGGTTGCTAAGGAAGGCGTCGATGGAGCCGGTGGGCAGCACGGTGTCCTTCAGCCTCAGAGGAGACGGACTGATGTTGATGCTCAGCACGTGCAGTTGATTAACAAGAGGCATGACCACAGCAGTCCATGGCAAGTATGCGCCAGGTGATGTTTGCCTGAAACCTTAACTTAACACCATGTTAAGTTATTCAGTTGAACTTTGCAGAACAAGCTTCCAAGCCGTGATCTTGTGAACATAGCTGTACTTTTCCAGGGTGGCAAGATTTGCTCCTTGCTTGGCTGCCTTCGCATTGGCAGGCCCGGCCTTGCCCTCCCCTGACTTCCGCTTTGCGCCCATGGTCACTCCACGAGGCAGGGCCCAAGCTGCAGGACTACTGAATGAATGAATCTGTGAGTTCAGGAGAAGTTTGCTCAGCAAACGGCCTCCGCGCAATTAAGCTTGTCAGTGTGACTGTGGCCTAGAGTACAGACAACGCTGCAGGGCTACTGAAAGGATGACTTTGAATTCGTAACAGTAACACAGAATGAACCTGAAACAAGCCGTCAACTTAAGGTAGTCTGGCCTAGAGAGTAACCAGTATTAGGCTCAGCAGCGGGACCAGTGACACCAAATGAATGAATCTGGATTCAAAACATAGAATGACATGAATATCAGCCTGAAACCTTAACGTAACACCATGTTAAGTTATTCAGTTAGTTAGGCTAGGTCCTCACATCGACAGAGTCAACTGCTCGCTCGGGTCGGAAAACTTTAAGGGATGAGAGCAATGCTGACACATCACATGCATCAGGGCTGCTACCTGAGCTGCCTGGTCAGTGCATCACAATCAGAAGCGACTCTCAGCGCTGCATAGCAAGCCACCCACTTTTAATGGTATGTCAAATTCACACTCGGTGACACTCAGTCAATGCGCCACTTTCCTAGGATGGGCCAGGTAACAATCAAACATACTGTAATGCACGTAAGGCTTCAGAATCCAGGCGACTACTGAATACGTCCTGCTGCCAAGGGTCCCGGCTGAAGAATTGCATCATCAACGGCGGTCGCTAATCAGGCCCACACGAGTCGAGGCCTGGGACCATTTGGGGATGATAGCAGGAAGTTCAATTGGGTTTTGGATCGGAGCCCCGGGCTACGACATGATGGTCTGCTTGTCGTCAGGTACAATGACACGGCTCCTCGTTTATCATTTGTCTGTCTCGAGGCTTTTTTACTCATTGAAAACCTCATCAGGCATGGCCACTCATTGTCATGCCAAGTGACGCTTGTTAATTGCAGCTCAGGTTCTGAGTTGATTAATAGCCGAGCATTCTCATCGCCGTAACCAGAATCTGCGCAACGCCAAAATCCTGTGCGGCTATCTAAGGGACATGCTGCCAGAAGGAGGGAAATTGGGACATACTGGGCCTGTCATTGTAAGGAGCAGCTATGGGCCTTGAGGCTGACCAGTCTGATTTCAAAATTGCTATATTATTGCATGTCTCTTTTGGTGTTGAGGTTCTGGGGAGCTGATATTGAAGGGCACAATTGACACAGCCATCAAAAGAAACAGTATCCCGAAATCCCCTGAAGTCTGAACTCAGTTGAAGTTTTCAGAATCATAATGTCTGTGGACATGACAATGAATGACATGGGCCTTGTTAGACTTAGAATGGAAGACTGGGCTTTTAATTTTTCAATGGCAAATCAATTCGACAGGCTTGAACATTCATCTTTAGTTTGCTATGAATCAAAGCTTTGGAGCTAAGAGGCCCTATAAGGATTTAATTTACACTTCGCACATGAACTGTTTTGTTGGAGTCGGTGGGCGCACTGCAACAGCATCGGTCCGGTGCCGTGACTGAAAGCGACATCACAACTCGAGGTCCAATGTGTGGCTTGCGGCTGTCAGAGCACATGTAAGGATCGTCCAGGAGCAGCATCCAGAAGCAGACAAACAGAGCACCGGTTGTCACAGCGGATCGTCCCGCAGGCTCCTGCAGGGTCTAAAGAAAGACCACATGGACAAAGACTTTAGAAATAATTAACTTATTATTATTACTGCTACTACTAGTACTAGTAGCCATGACATGATGGCGTCGCTCTGTCAGTCTGTCTGTCCCCGACTGTCTGTGTGTGACAGTGAAGGTGTTGCGGTCCAATTGGCCTGACAATTATTATTGGTGTTTCCGTTGAATCTGTCTGTCTTTCCGACACGAAAGGCGTTTCCGTTGAATCTCTCTGTCTGGCGCGAAGGAAGTTTCCGTTGAATCTCTCTGTCCGACGCGAAAGGCGTTTGCGTTGAAGCTGTCCGCGACGCGAAAGGCGTTTGCGCTCTCTCTCTGTCTGTCCGACGCGACAGGCGTTTGCGTTGAATCTGTCCGACACGAGAGGCGTTTGCGTTGAATCCGTCCGACGCGGCAGGCGTTTGCGTTGAATCTGACTGTCCGACGCGAGAGGCGTTTGCGTTGAATCCGTTCGACGCGAGAGGCGTTTGCGTTGAATCCGTCCGACGCGACAGGCGTTTGCGTTGAATCCGTTCGACGCGACAGGCGTTTGCGTTGAATCCGTCCGACGCGACAGGCGTTTGCGTTGAATCACACCTGGGATTCAACTCAAATTGGGCCTTCAATTTGAGAGCCGATTTGTGTTGAATCCCAGGTGTGATTCAACTCAAACTGGGCCTCTGGGGCAGGTTGCACTACCCTTGAAGTTTTACCGGGGTAGTCTAACCTGGCCCAGAGGCCCAGTTTGAGTTGAATCACACCTGGGATTCAACACAAATCGGCTCTCAAATTGAAGGCCCAATTTGAGTTGAATCCCAGGTGTGATTCAACGCAAAATGGCCTTTAGCCAATCGACGTCAGACGGGTTCAACGCAAACGCCTGTCGCGTCGAACGGATTCAACGCAAACGCCTGTCGCGTCGGACGGATTCAACGCAAACGCCTCTCGCGTCGAACGGATTCAACGCAAACGCCTCTCGCGTCGGACAGTCAGATTCAACGCAAACGCCTGTCGCGTCGGACGGATTCAACGCAAACGCCTCTCGCGTCGGACAGATTCAACGCAAACGCCTGTCGCGTCGGACAGACAGAGAGAGAGCGCAAACGCCTTTCGCGTCGCGGACAGCTTCAACGCAAACGCCTTTCGCGTCGGACAGAGAGATTCAACGGAAACTTCCTTCGCGCCAGACAGAGAGATTCAACGGAAACGCCTTTCGTGTCGGAAAGACAGACAGATTCAACGGAAACACCAATAATAATTGTCAGGCCAATTGGACCGCAACACCTTCACTGTCACACACAGTCGGGGACAGACAGACTGACAGAGCGACGCCATCATGTCATGGCTACTAGTACTAGTAGTAGCAGTAATAATAATAAGTTAATTATTTCTAAAGTCTTTGTCCATGTGGTCTTTCTTTAGACCCTGCAGGAGCCTGCGGGACGATCCGCTGTGACAACCGGTGCTCTGTTTGTCTGCTTCTGGATGCTGCTCCTGGACGATCCTTACATGTGCTCTGACAGCCGCAAGCCACACATTGGACCTCGAGTTGTGATGTCGCTTTCAGTCACGGCACCGGACCGATGCTGTTGCAGTGCGCCCACCGACTCCAACAAAACAGTTCATGTGCGAAGTGTAAATTAAATCCTTATAGGGCCTCTTAGCTCCAAAGCTTTGATTCATAGCAAACTAAAGATGAATGTTCAAGCCTGTCGAATTGATTTGCCATTGAAAAATTAAAAGCCCAGTCTTCCATTCTAAGTCTAACAAGGCCCATGTCATTCATTGTCATGTCCACAGACATTATGATTCTGAAAACTTCAACTGAGTTCAGACTTCAGGGGATTTCGGGATACTGTTTCTTTTGATGGCTGTGTCAATTGTGCCCTTCAATATCAGCTCCCCAGAACCTCAACACCAAAAGAGACATGCAATAATATAGCAATTTTGAAATCAGACTGGTCAGCCTCAAGGCCCATAGCTGCTCCTTACAATGACAGGCCCAGTATGTCCCAATTTCCCTCCTTCTGGCAGCATGTCCCTTAGATAGCCGCACAGGATTTTGGCGTTGCGCAGATTCTGGTTACGGCGATGAGAATGCTCGGCTATTAATCAACTCAGAACCTGAGCTGCAATTAACAAGCGTCACTTGGCATGACAATGAGTGGCCATGCCTGATGAGGTTTTCAATGAGTAAAAAAGCCTCGAGACAGACAAATGATAAACGAGGAGCCGTGTCATTGTACCTGACGACAAGCAGACCATCATGTCGTAGCCCGGGGCTCCGATCCAAAACCCAATTGAACTTCCTGCTATCATCCCCAAATGGTCCCAGGCCTCGACTCGTGTGGGCCTGATTAGCGACCGCCGTTGATGATGCAATTCTTCAGCCGGGACCCTTGGCAGCAGGACGTATTCAGTAGTCGCCTGGATTCTGAAGCCTTACGTGCATTACAGTATGTTTGATTGTTACCTGGCCCATCCTAGGAAAGTGGCGCATTGACTGAGTGTCACCGAGTGTGAATTTGACATACCATTAAAAGTGGGTGGCTTGCTATGCAGCGCTGAGAGTCGCTTCTGATTGTGATGCACTGACCAGGCAGCTCAGGTAGCAGCCCTGATGCATGTGATGTGTCAGCATTGCTCTCATCCCTTAAAGTTTTCCGACCCGAGCGAGCAGTTGACTCTGTCGATGTGAGGACCTAGCCTAACTAACTGAATAACTTAACATGGTGTTACGTTAAGGTTTCAGGCTGATATTCATGTCATTCTATGTTTTGAATCCAGATTCATTCATTTGGTGTCACTGGTCCCGCTGCTGAGCCTAATACTGGTTACTCTCTAGGCCAGACTACCTTAAGTTGACGGCTTGTTTCAGGTTCATTCTGTGTTACTGTTACGAATTCAAAGTCATCCTTTCAGTAGCCCTGCAGCGTTGTCTGTACTCTAGGCCACAGTCACACTGACAAGCTTAATTGCGCGGAGGCCGTTTGCTGAGCAAACTTCTCCTGAACTCACAGATTCATTCATTCAGTAGTCCTGCAGCTTGGGCCCTGCCTCGTGGAGTGACCATGGGCGCAAAGCGGAAGTCAGGGGAGGGCAAGGCCGGGCCTGCCAATGCGAAGGCAGCCAAGCAAGGAGCAAATCTTGCCACCCTGGAAAAGTACAGCTATGTTCACAAGATCACGGCTTGGAAGCTTGTTCTGCAAAGTTCAACTGAATAACTTAACATGGTGTTAAGTTAAGGTTTCAGGCAAACATCACCTGGCGCATACTTGCCATGGACTGCTGTGGTCATGCCTCTTGTTAATCAACTGCACGTGCTGAGCATCAACATCAGTCCGTCTCCTCTGAGGCTGAAGGACACCGTGCTGCCCACCGGCTCCATCGACGCCTTCCTTAGCAACCAAATGGATACCGAGGCAAGGCAATTGTTGTAAACTCTCTGTCATGTGTGTCAGGGGTCATAGTTATCAGAATCATTCAGTCAGTTTAAACTAAGTCAGTACTGAGGACTTCGTGTCAAGATGGCATTGTTGCTCACTCTCTGTCTGCCAGGACAAAATGCTTGACTTCGCCCGGTGGATGGACAACTTCTGTCCTGCTGATGCTTTGCACCTCGACTTAAACACAAACGAGATGTTTTTTTGCACCGCCTGTCACACTGTACCTGCAGGAAGGCCTACAGCATTGACAGCGCCGGCAGCTACTTGAGGCCCTTCCAGTTGGGATGGCGCTCAGATTTCGGAATTAGCGGAATGATGGAGCCGGAAACGGCCGAGCTCCTCCTGGAGCTCATACTCACAGAGGGGCTGCTGGACCCAGTATACTGGTAGTTAACCAATCAGTGTTACTGTTATTATGCGTACTTATATTCTTGATCTGGTCCGGGTTTTGCTTTGACTTGCGATCTAAGGTTCCTGACTGACCCCAACGTTGTCGGTGTCGAGAAGTTGGGCGTTACGATGCCTCCACCGGAGTACCTCGACGGTGGCATCACGGAATGCCCCGCCATCAGCCTGGGCAGTAACTTGGGAGCATAGCGCGAGTCATAGGTGATATCACGGGGCTGTGCATTTGATGTTCTGTTTCAGGTGCTTTGTTGCCACCCTTCAGTGTCGGGTACGTGAAAGGGTGGAAAAGAGCAGTGTGCTTGATCCTGGCACTCTATGGAATCAGAATGCTGGGATTGGAGGCAGAAGTGCCCCACCACATTCGTGCGGCCTGGTCTAAACTTTATATCAACACATGCTGTTATACGTAGCCTTTAGATATTAATTTTTAGAGTGAGATTTCAGATCACTTCCCGGCCTCAGGTGAGCATGGGCACCATCCACTGCTCCTTCGGAGCCTTTCAAGATGTGAAAGCCAAGGTTTTGGCTTCACGAGGTGGCTTGCATGAACAATTGGCGTCGACAGCAAGTCATAGAGCGATAAGTACCAGCGGGTTATTTGTTATTAAAATTGACAAGCTAGGAGTGACCCTCGCGTCTACATCAACGCGGCGACCCCCAAACTGCTTCCACTTCCTGCGTCAAGTTGTCATCTTACAAAGAGCTGGAGCAGGAGGAGCCGAACAGCAGTTTTCGGAGACTCAGAACGAGATAGCAACTTGAAGACGTTTGGCTTTATGTTCGATTCCTAAGACAGTCTTGTTATTGTCAGTTTCAGGATTGGCACTCCCAGACTGCCATTGCGAAGGCCTTCCATATAGGCCGGAATGAAGCCGGAGCTGTGCAGCAGCTCATCACGGCCGTGCCGGAGGATGTGAAAAATGCATTGGCAGCGGCAGTGAAGCGACGAGGCATGGTGAAGTTTGTGGGCCATGAAGCTTTGGCACGACAAATCTTCAGTGCCTCCTACACCAACACATCGCCGGGCGTGGATGCATGGCGGGACCTCCTGACAAACGCCCCGGGCGATTCCAGGATTGTGACTAAACGCGAACATCTTGTTTGTAAAATTTGGGGTTGAGGGATGGGTCTTGAACTTAAGGTTTATGAATTTGATTTGTAGTCTACTATACTGGACCAGACACGTAGAATGAGATCATCGTGACCATAAACCATCATCATCGTCAGCTCACGCGCCCCCTCGATCATGGCTGGCTATCTCTATCTCTATCTCTATCTCTATCTCTATCTCTCTGTCTCTCGACGACACAAGGCATCTTTGTTGGTGGAGCGCCTCGTCAGCGACTTCGACCTCGCGCCCGAGCCCCTGCGCAAGGTGCCTTGAGATCTTAAAGGTTGCAACTGTAAGTGTGGCCTTCAAAATAATCATACTGAGAATCCAAGATTGGTTGCTGCAGTGGTGACCTTAACTTCCTCAGGCACCGACCTATAAGGAAACGGTGACAAAGCATGCTTGCTGTGCTGCCATGCTGCACTTCCTCGGCCTCTTGGAAGCCATGTGCCCCGGCAAAGAGTTTCCTGAATTGCGGCGGCAGCTCATGCATCAGTTCCATCACGGCTACTTGGACACGGACCTTGTCCACGTCCTTGAGAGCGCCGTGCCGCCAGCAGATCTGAAATCTGTTTCCGCCTTCAGGTGCACAGTTAATAAACAAGCAGCATAATGAACCATCTACCTGACAATTAACATTGACTGCCTGCTTTCCGCCCTCAGGGCGGTGGCGGTCCAGATCGAGACCCAAGCGCAGGCAGAGATGGATGCGACACAGGCAGAGCATGCGCGGCAAGTCCGCGAAGCCACCCTGGCCCAGATCACCGCCTTGGTCGAGTCTGACATGAAGGCATTGCGCCAGCGGACCCCAGACCATGTGCTCAAGGCCATCGCTACGGCAAAGGATTTGAAGTACGTCAAGGACCGGCAGACGCAGCTTGACACAAATCATTTCTGCCATTTGCAATAACAATAATGATTAATAAGGCTTTGTATTCTTATAGTCCGTGCCAAATTTGTTGCTTTGACTGTCTGTTACTGTTAATGTGGAACCGTAACCCCGAAGCATACAGCGTGTCACGTGGACTACGTTAGTTATGCTGTCAGCCGCTCGACGATTACTTATCCTGAGCCCTAAAGTAGTCAAAGTTTTGAAGCCCAACAGGTTTCATCATTACATTACAGACTCGGAGCCCGAGGTCCCAGAAACCCCCTTCTTGGGACAATCACAATCACATGACAAGTAGTATCTTCAAGTTGGGACTATAAGTTATTAGTTCAGTTATTTAGTTAGAGCTCCTATTTTGGGTTTTTGGGTTACTTTAATGACTAATGAGTGACATATGACAGTATCTTCAGGTTGGGACTATAAGTTATCAGTTATTTAGTTAGCTCTCCTACTATTTGGGGTTTGTCTGTTGCTTATTGACATATGATGTAAGTAGACCAACTAACTTAACTCAGTGTCCTCAGGATTTATGGTTTAAGGCTCAAGGGTTCTGAGCCTTCGGAGTTTAGGGTTGCTGTTTTCTATCAAGCGGCCTCGATCCGGATGACCGCTTGCAATTCAGGTATGTGCTGTGCCTTTGCGATTACACGGTGCTGCCAGCGAATGTGGATTACGTGAGGGACTCTGTGGAGCTGCTGGCAAACTTGCTTGCCAGCAGCTCCAACAACCTGGGCCACTTGCAGCTTCCGCTGCCGCAGCGTTCGATGGCTTCCTCAACGAGCGTCAAGCACAGGCGGACCGTGGAGGATTTGTTGATGAAGGCGAAGATCAACGCGGACTCCGTGACAGCCCTGCTCTTCGAGAAGCCTGCCGACGCAAGTGCATCTGACAAGCGGTCCCTGACACAAACCTGCTTGACCTGCCTCTTCAGTGGTTTCGATGCAACAAGCTGGACCGCTTCGCGAGTTTTGCAAGAGTGCCGAATGGGACCCTTCCCGCTCCTGAAAGTCGCGGACTTCCTGGGCTACGAGAACTCGCGGCCTGGCCCTGCGGCGAGGGTAGAGCAGCATCTGGGCAACAGTGAGCCCGAATTTAAATGCTAAGTACCAAGTTCGTCAGACTTCGGGCATTTACACAGAGTTTGATTCTTAGTCTTTTCTACTACTGCTGTTAAATATGAAAGGTCCTTTTAAAGTAAGTGTGGGTTAACCATAAAAAATATCCGTATATATCTGTAAGCATGGTAAGTTAAAGCTGCTATTGTCATTAGCAGGAGAACCATACTAAATAGGTTGTCAGGATTGGGGTCAGGTTTAACACGTATGTCATAGGCCAGGCTCAGGGTCGTGTGGGCGTTTCGGTCTTATAATTTCTTGAAAAGATAAGGTTTTTTTTTATTAGCGTCCCGTTCCAGTCAATGTGCGCCATCATAATCCCAGGAAGGGAGTGCCGCTGCATGAGGGCATCCTCGATGCTTTCATGGATGGCATGGGCTTCGGCGAAACGGACCGGCTGGTGATCGTGGACCTCTGCCCCAACAGGTTGGACTTGAAATGATATGTTGATTCCTTTCTTACACATCACATCAATGAAATTCGAAGGGTTGCTCCTGCAGGCAAGCCGAGTTTGCCCGCGCGGCCGTGAACAAGATGATTGAAACCGAGGGCAAGAGTTGCATGCGCTACGTCGGCCTCTTCCGCCCGGAGCATGCTGACGTGAAAGCCGACCTCAGCGGCAAGATCTACTCCTGGTGGGATAGCAGCAGCGCCGCCCCTGCAAAGAGGCGCACTCGAGATGATGTCGATTTGGACGCGGTGGCCGTGCCGCTGCAGATCCTTTCCCTCCAGGGCTCCAAGCCCGTATGGCCGTCTTCGCTTGAGGACAAGTTTCCGGCCGGCACCCCGGAGCATGCAAAGCTCCTGCTATTGAACCAGGAGTTTTTGAAGGAGTTCCCCAAGCCACGAGCTCTGAGCCAGGTGGGCCGACAGGCCTCTTCGGTCAGCCAGCTGACCCAGCGCCTGGCTGCGGAGTGCGACTACTCGCAGGATGGAGAGCCGCTGGACCTTGAGCGGTGCGTGGACCTCGCAACGGTCCCCGTGGCAGAGCTGAAGGAGACCGTGCTACCAGTCTGATGGCTAAGGAGTCAATCATTGATTGAAAATTGAACTGTTCTGAGCATGCAAGGCCGCAATGCCCGTAATTAGTATAGCCCAAATGTCAAAGCCCAGAAGCCTTCCATCCCGAATCCTAAAACCCTAAACCCCTGAACCGCTAAACCCTAACTTTGTAACATGAACCGTAACAGCAGCAACAGTAACAGTAACAAGAACTTAGCCCTAAATTCTAAAGAATATGTTTAGTCTGTGTCTGTGTCCTGCTGCTGATGGCACCTGAGGCTTGCCATGGTCACTGGGCGCCCCGGCAAGCCCAGCATCATGATCACGGCCGAGTACGGCTTGTGGATCGGCAACACCAGTGACTCCCCTTTGGATCTTTGCTGCTCTGAACTTTGTGGGTTTGGGATGGGCAGTTACTCGGACCGTCCTGTTCGCTCCTCATCTGAAATAGGACTTTCGATTCAAATCAACAGCCCCTTAGTCAGCCCGACGAGTAGTACCTAGCATTAGCAACCAGTTTTTAATGCGAGAGCCCTCTGATTCCAGGAAACGTGCTGGAGGAAAGCTCCGGGGTGCCCTGGCGATTGGGCAGCGACAAGGAGCTCATTGTCGTGAACAAGGCAACATTGCCACTATGCGAATTGCTGCGGCTGAAGGCCGCCCACGATTCAGATTCAATGATGATTGATGGTGATGATGATGATGAAGTAGGACTGGGCTGCTTCATCATGACATGAGGGAGGTTATTAAAAGCCTGACATGCGTTACTAGGCCACGGAGGAGGGCCTCGTGAATGTGGAGGTGGAGTCCCACGTGGTGCTGCCCAAGCCTCCGGCTGCTTGTTTGCTATGCTTTTCAATGCATTTAGAGGTGAGATTCAACATGAACTGTCATCCAAGACTGCTGCTGCGGCAGACGATGCTGAGACCCAGCTTGATGATGACGAAGCCCTATTTGGGTTCAGATATGATGTGGCCCCGACCGTGAGCTGCAAGACGAGTGTCTTCAAGCCAGCAGTGTTGAGCAAAGAGGAGACAGAGACAGTCCGTGCTGTCTCCCTCGCCGCTCTCTTCAGTGGTAACTATGACCGCTTGCCCCGCAACAAGATTGCCACTGTGGCTTGGGAGGCCGTGGTGCTGCAACCACTGAAAGGTTGTCGGGCATCCTCTGTGGAGTCAGTCGTGTCATTCAGCAGATTACTTTGGTTCAGCTGTCATTGTTTCTGTTGCAGGTGACCGTGAGCGGGACACCGCCCAAGATCATGCCGATCAAGCCGAAGATCTACTTGACCTGCAGCGTGCGACTGCCTCCGCAAAGTTGGTGCAAGGTCAGCTCCTGATCCTGAGATTTTCCGGACCCTGCAGCATCATCACCATCATGGTACACTAGTAGTAGTTGCAAGATTGGCACATTCGAACATTTCAAGCCGACTTGGTGCTTCTAAGCTCTCGATCATGAATGACATGTGAATGATGGTGATGCTGATGTGACTTCGAGCCTCCAGCCCTCTTGATGAGTTGGCCGTGCACAAGCACAGTAGACGTGAGAGTGGCGGGCGCAAGCTGGGAGTAGGGCCAATTTCAATTCATGTTCATTCAGATAATAGCTCTGCATAGCTCTGCGCTCCACGTCGTGTGCGCTGTCACATCAAGCCTGGAGGCCGCTTTTAACTTCTGAATTACTTTCGTTGTGAGTTGCACTTCGTGGGCTGATTATGATGTTACTTTAATTTATCAATCCAAGTAAAGCCCTATTATGATTTAGATGTGATTTCGGAGTCCGAATGTGTGCCCACTCCATGTGCAACATCGCATAGACATCGAGTCTGACGAGCTTGGCATCGTCTTGAACAGCCAGTCATCGCTGCTGATTCTCGCACTGAGTCTGAGTCCAGTCACTGAGAGGACAAGCTTGGAACCCATGGCTTGGTTTGTCAAATTGTTCTTTCAGGTCAAGCCAGGCCCTGCTTGTCGCAGGAGTAGGGGGCATGCCAGTTTTTAGCTCGGTGAACGAGCTGTCCGCAAGCTCCGATGAATGCGAGGCGGGTTCAAACTTCCTTGGAGTTGATTCTTACTGGAGCGGTTGTAAGTGTAACAAGGTTGTTATGCCAAACTTGTTGTTTATTATTGTTTCTTGCTATGCTGATTTCCAGGTGTCCTTTTTCAACTCCAAACAATAACAGTCCACGTCAGGAGAATGTTAAAGGAGAAGAAAAGGAAAGCTTAGCGGACCCTGAGGTTCCACTTCTGGACATGAGTTGCGATGAAGGGGAGGAGGAGGAAAAGGGCCTCTTTTGGCCTGATGAGGAAGACGAGGAGGAGGAAGAGGAACCAGCACCCAAAAAGAAACCCGCGATGAATGACAAGAACTTGAAACCTGATACCGGTGATGATGAGCCAAAGCCACCCCTGAAAAGACCGGCAACACATAAGAAGGAACAACACGAGGATGAAAATGCAGAGCTCCGCAACAAGAAGCAGCGACCTTCAGCCTTGAAGTCAAAGTCGAACATTGCACCTACCCCAGGTGTTTCAAAGGACGCTTCGGAACAGGATGAAAAGTTAAAGGAGGAGGACAAGCCTACCCCAGGTGTTTCAAAGGACGCTTCGGAGCAGGATGAAAAGTTAAAGGAGGAGGACAAGCAGGAGCATCCAGCATCCGAGCAGCAACCACCCTCAGCCTCACCCGTGAAAGCGAGGCTTAAAATCGCCCCAACCCAAGCTGTTAGGAAACAAGCTTCGAAGAAGGATGAACAGGAGGAGGAAGCCAAGCAGCCACGACGTCCAGCCATAAGGCCGACACGAGCCCCTAGCAAGACTGTTTCCACGGAAGGTTCCGTGCAGGATGATGATGTAAGGGAGGGAGCAGAGAAGAAAGCAAGGACAGATCCGGGACCGAAGCCGGATGTGGAGGAGCGGAGTCGTGTGTGTTCATTGCATGCGCGCTGTACGGATGCAATGCCCAATGTGCGATTCATTCCTGGAGTCTACTAATAGCCTGTAAAGTAGACAGTATTAAGTTCAAACCCTTAGCCTTGTTGATTAAGTTCAGCCAGGAGCCCATGCAGACCGAGGAGCAGAAAGAAGCAAAGACAACGACGGCCGAGGACGACGAGAATCGTAGGACGACCGCCTGAGGTTAGAAATTTACCCAACATTTGACAAGTGAAACCTGAGTGCTGTAAATACCAACCTTCCCCTATTCAACCTAGTACCTCGCTATTATTACTATTATTTAAATATTAGATAAGTCTACCTTATGCTATTATAGCTGTATAGCTCCTAAAGCGCCTTTAATAATAACCCGAAGGCCCTAATTAGCCCACTACCCTACGCCCTACGCCATCGGCCTCGCTGAGTTAAAGTCAGGAGCCCCAGAAGCCAAAGTTGAAGCACCAAAAAAAAAGCGATTCGGGTTCGAAGCAGGCTTGCCGGCTGACTGTCATCATGATGTCATACTTGATAACAGAATAACAACTCAACCTTACGCCCTACACCCTCGCTTAAAAGCCAAAGGAGCTCAAGAAGAAAGGAGCAGTCGCTTCGGCTTCGGGTTCGAAGCAGGCTTGCCGGCTGACTGTACTCATGGCATTGCTTGACGTCAGCTTAACTTTAATTAAAACCCCACTACGCCCTACACCCTCGCTAAATTAATTCAGGAGCCCAAGAAGCCAAAGGAAGTGAAGAAGAAAGGAGGAATCGCTTCGGGTTCGAAGCAGGCTGGCCGGCTGACTGTCACTCATATAGTAAACCTTTGAACTTTCCAATCGAGGAGTCGAGGGAAGACTCAGAAGCTGCCGAGGAGTCGGAAGCGGAGGCCACTAGTCTCGCATGCGTGAATTTAATTTCTCATGTATTATTTTATTTTATAATGATGCCCTCACGCTACATGATTTACCACTCTTCGCAAACCTTAACCCCCGAAGCCAGGAGCATGACGATGTGCCGCCGAAGCAAGAACTGCCAAAGAGAAAGCCCAAGGCCAAAGCAAAATCCAAGTCACCGCGTCCGCCAGCGCAGGATTTGGATGGACGAGCCACTCCGCCCGCATGAAGCCATGATGCCCTGATGCTACATGATTTGACACTCTTCGAAAACTAAAACCCCCGAAGCCAGGAGAATGTCAATGTGCCGCCGAAGCAAGGGCAGCCAAAGAAGAAGGCCAAAGCAAAAGCCAAGACATCACCGCGTCCGCCAGCGCAGGAGTCGGAAGGAGCCACTCCGCATTCAGCCACTGCCACTCCGAGGCTGAAGGTGGAAAAAGAGAGTTATTACAAAAGCAATAACAGCTGGGGCATCAAAGTCGATGGAGCAGAGAAGATAAGAGCCACTCTATTTGCATCTAAGTTTCGATTTAAGGGTTGAATTTTTGAATTTTTGAAGGTATAAAATAAAATACCGTCATGCAGAATCCTAGCCCAGGTTGGCGGAGTGCTGTATCCGAAAGACCGGACGGAAGAGATTGCAGTGCCTTTGGTGGCAACTGGTAGCATTTCTCAAGCCTATCGAGCAGTGAGTGTCTGGGTGCCTGGACAGTCAGGTTGAAGCCGTGAGAAGGCTGAGACAAGGAGACAGGTTGGAAGACGTCAAGGCCATGTGTGCTGCGTGGCTGTAAACATCAGACACCACTCGATTTGATATTTGTTGTTGGTTCCGAGTTCTAAACCGTATAACAAGTTTATGATTAAATCAAGCCCAGAAAGCTAAAGTAACAGTAACGGTAACAGTACCAGGGCAACAGCAAACAAAAACCAATCATCGCCAACAACAGAACAGACAGCAGCAGCAGCAGCAGTAGCAGCAGCAACAGCAACAACAGCAACAACAGCAGCAACAGCAGCAACAACAACAAGAACGACGACAACAGCAACATCACCAGCAGCAGCAGCAACAACAACAACAACAAGAACAACAGCAGCAACAGTAAGTAGAACCACAGGACCACGACCACGAGCGCGACAACGACGACATCAGCAGCAACAGCTCAACTCTCCACTCAAGAACAACCTCCACCATGCATTTTAACTTGACCGCCACCAACTAGATAGGAACAAGAACAACAAGCCATCTCAAGATGAAACCCATCGTAACCGTGATTCCGTAGCATGGTTCTGCCAAGGCAGCAATGCAGAAGGCGTTGCTCCAGAAACAACTTGCCACGGCTGAGCAAGAGCGCAGCCACAACTTGGCAGACTCGAAGGATGAGGAAGATGCCGCGAAGGCACGAGATTCGCAAAAAACCGAGGACGACGATCAAAACGACAAGGAGTCAGTGTGTCCGGAGAGCGAGGTTGAGCCTTAAAGAGGCGAAAAGGATCGCAAAAGCTGCGAGCCTTAAAAAGGCGAAAAGGATCGCAAATCCTGCCTTAAAAAGGCGAAAAGGATCGCAAATCCTGCGCGAGTCTGGCTGCGTGCAAAACAGATAAGACTGAGAGTGCTCGCAAGTTCTGCACTGAGTGTGCGCATGTCTCCTTTTCTTAGCGGCTACCCGTTGAATCATCCAAAGCCTTTTCTTAGCGGCCACTTATTATGACTTTACTTTGTGCCGAGATGTACATACGTCGTACATGTATTTATACACACATGCTCTCGCCCGGAGGTTCCTTCTTTCGCATCTTTCGCCCGCCTGAGCCGGGGAGCGGCGTAGCCGTGCCCTGTGTTGCCGGGGTTCCTTCCTTTCTGCCTGTCTGGCCGGGGGGCGGCTTGGCCGCATCCTGCGCTGCCGAGGCTTTCTTCTCTCGGGGGGTTTTTATTCCACATACTATTTATAATACATGTGTAGAGAAACATATTGATTTGTTTATTTTTCGACAACACTCCTTTTGACGATCGTGTGGCCCAATGTGCCAAAGCTAGTCTTGCAGTCACTTGCGACAACAGTCAGTTTGACGATCGTGTCATTTTTTGGCCACAATGATTGTAAGGGATGGGGTAAATTGGTAGCGGAGCCTAACAATAACCATTGGTAGGGGAGCCCAAAACAAGCCATATATCACAGCAGGCGTACCAACCAAAACCCAGGAACACCAGTTATGCTGGGAACACCAGTTACTGAGAAAAGTTCTTTACGGCGACCGAGGCCGCAGAAAACTTCCACAAACAGTGGCGGCCGAGGGGCCGCTTGCGGAGCAGGCTCAGGGAGAGAAGCGCCCAGAGCATTGTCTGCCGGCACGCTGTGCTGTTCAGACAGCAGGAGCGCTGGGGGGTCGGCGTTGGCCGCGAGCCCTGCGTCAGGCGACGGCGCTGCTGTGGCACGTCCTGGCTTACTTGTTGCAGGCGGGTGCAGCGACAGTGCCGCGG